ACAAGTCCTAGCCCCAACACTTCCTAACCTAGGAACACCGCCGGACTTTGCAGCATAAACTCTGGAGAAACCCCGAATGCAGCAAGCTGGAGAGCGCATCGAAACCACAACCGCGACACTCACACGACGACCTGTACAATCAGGGCGAAGGTTAAGAAACAAGGACCCCAGCATGATCCTCAAGGAACGAGCTCCCGATTCTAAACCCCAAAGTTACGCGAGTCAAAGAATCACCCCCATGGTCCCTGAACAGCCATCCTAATTTAGGTCCCAAAATCCCGCAAAACTCTTATGAGACCCATGAGACCCACAAACCAAGCACTAAACAAGCTTGGGAAGCCCCACAATTCCTGTGTTTTCCTAACTCGGCCCAAGATGCTTCTTCGGTTCCGACCAAGCAAACTGCCAGTTGCTGAAGGCAGCGTTACCTCGCTTCTTTAAGGAATCAATACCGGATTCTGTACCGGGTTCAGCGTTTCGGTTTTAGGGCGTACTTGGGGCTTCTCGCAGGATTTCCAGGAGGATGTCTCTAGGGGTTTCGAGAAGGGTTTCCAGCTCATGTTCAAAGGCTTGTTTTGAACAAGGGCATTATAAGGATCGATGAGGATGCCTGTAGAGGTGTCTTTTCGGAAGTTATCAGTGAGCGTTATAAGGATGACTTTCTTGGCTGTTTATCTATGACTAGAGGTTCTTAAAGGCTTCCGGCTAGGGTTTAGTAAATGGCGTATCGTTGAAATACCATTAGAAATTGTCAGCGGGTTTGAGGTTGAGCTTTTTGGCACCGATCTCACGCCTCACAGTAAGCCTGATTGTAACCCGTGCAGGAGCCCTATAGTGAACCTCATAGTGTCCATAAAACTCATGATCTCACTTTAATTTCCCGATACCCAGTGGAACTTAAATTGTACATTTGCACAGCAAAAAAGCAAGTAGCAGAAGCTACCAAAACATAGGAACACCTAACGACTGAAGTCTGGCATGGGAGAACGACGAAGCAAGTGCTGTTGCTTCAGTCTAGGATGGTCCACTCTGTGTCAACTCACGTGGCTGTGTCAACCAGCCGTGCATCCTTCCTAGATGATAATGTAGGGGCCTTAATAATTAGAATAGGGTTTGAGGTATATTATACCATAATTGGAATAAGGAACCCCCAAAAAGAATACGGTTTGGGGTATATTACACTATAATTAGTAAGGAAGCCCAAAACCCTATTCTAGTTATTTAGCCCCCTACATTACCGTCAACCCTAACCCGACACTCTGAAGCCCTAACGCCCTCCGCAGAAAAGCCCTACAAACCCCCGAGCTGAGAAATCCGAGGGTTGCTATGGCACTCTATTTAAAAGGCTCTTCATGAGGTCGGATGGGGTTTCATCGTGTCTTGTAGGGCTTTAGGGTTAAGACAGGATTGGGGTTGCGGGGTGAGGGTTCGGGCTTCCGGATTTAGTGGGGATTAGGGTTCTGGGAGTCGTTTTAGAGTTTAGGGTTTAGGGTTTAGGGTTTGAACGATCAGAACCAGGCACAGTCGTAGGGCGCAGAGGTCGTTTCCTCATGGCAGCCTCTCTGCTCGTGCTGGCAGCCTTTGTCGTCGGTTTAGGGTTTAGGGTTGAGGGTTTAGTTGGGCCGAAAGCAACCACTGCAGCAACCCTTCGAGTAAGCCGCTTAGTGGCCCTAGGACAACTCCTGTAACTAATGCAGGGGCCTTAACAAGTAGAACAAGGTTTTGGGGGGTTCCTTGCTATAATTATAGTAGTATATGCCCCAAACCCTATTCTAACCCCTAAACCCTAAACCCTAAACCCTAAACCCTAAACTAACTCTTAAGGCCCCTGTAACTACCCATTATAAGCTTTCGGGCACAGCTCTGGCTGAACTATGGAGCTTCTTCCGCCAACCCTTCCGATGTGTTGGATGAATTTAGGGCTTAGGG